TAAACTGACAAAGTTCTCTCTCATACCCATGAGACAACTGGAGTATGTAGGAGCCCCGCAAGACACTGTGCAACTCAAAGCTTTCCTGGCTTAGCATGGGGTCCAGGGCCTAGTAGATCTGGTGGAAAGGTTTTGCCAGACCCATTGGGTTTCAGCAAAGACAATGTTATGAATATTGGGTTTCTTTGATGCAACAGTATTCATGGTACCCATGATGTGAGAGGAAAGATGGTCTTGTTTAAGGTACTAGATTGGGACTGAAGAGAACTGAATTCATTTCTGGGCTCTGCCATGTAATTCCTGTGTGACCTTGGGCATGTCACTTAATCTATTTGCATCTGTGAAATGGGGAGAATAATACTGTCCCTTTCTCCCACTTTTTGTGTTATCTTTTTAGAATGTAAACTCCTCAGGGTGAGGCCTGTCTCTCACTACATTTTTGTATGCCATCTTGCACAATTCCCCATGTCTGATCTTGGCTCCACTCCTGAACCCTTGAGCGAGTGTTGTTTATTCATGGTTCCAGTTCCACTGAAGGCCTTTTTCTCCCCCAGCGCTGCCCATGTCCCATCAAATGAGCCCTTGCGTCCCCGTTAAGTGATGCTGTGGAAATGCAAATCCACAAGCAAAACTATAGCCAAATTAGACTGGCGGATGTCTGTAGTGCAGTAGAGCTGTGGAAAAGGCCAGCACAAATTTGGTCTCTGGTGGCCATGCATCACGAAGTAGGGAAACCGAGGGAAGAGTGCTTAACTGTTGAATAGAAGAGGGTGGGGGAGGGGTTGTTATGTGAGTGGAAAGTGGGGACAAACTATATTGCAGCTTTTGCTAAATAGCTTAGCTAATGTCTGGCTGTATCTGTCTGTCTTGTCTAGTTAGGCTGTACCCCCTTCAGGACAGGGCCTGTGTTCTATTCTGTTTGTACAGTGGGGCCCTAATCCTGGTTGGGGCTGTTAGATGCTAAAGGAATGCACATAAGTAATAATGAGGGTAATGGACTCTCCTGGGCCATTTGATTCCAGTGGAGCTATGCTGATTTACACCAGCACAGGGGCTAGAATATCGCATTCCCATCTGAGCACCTCATAACTAGAAGGACTTTGGCAAACTAGAGGGAGTTCAGCAAAAAACAGAACTGATCAGGGGGCTGGAGTAATTGACTTCTATGGGAAGATTCAAACCTCTAACTATTCACAGCTTGGTGAAGAGCTGCCTAGGAAATGGAATGGGATAACGCAGAGTGGTTCAAGGTGATGTAACTAGGAGGAATGGAAAGGAAGAGAAAACCAGGCTGAATAAGAGGCTGAGTATCAGGCTCTGTCAGGGTTCCTTCCCCACTCTGAACTCTAGGGTACAGATGTGAGGACCTATATGAAAGACCCCCTAAGCTTATTCTTACCAGCTTAGGTTAAAAACTTCCTCAAGGTACAAACTTTGCCTTGTCCTTGAACCCTATGCTGCCACCACCAAGCGTGTTAAACAAAGAACAGGGAAAGAGCCCACTTGGAGACGTCTTCCCCCGAAAATATCTCCCCAAGCCCTACACTCCCTTTCCTGGGGAAGGCTTGAGAAAAATCCTCACCAATTTGCATCGGTGAACACAGACCCAAACCCTTGGATCTTAAGAACAATGAAAAAGCAATCAGGTTCTTAAAAGAAGAATTTTAATTGAAGAAAAAGTAAAAGAATCACCTCTGTAAAATCAGGATGGTAAATACCTTACAGGGTAATCAGATTCAAAACATAGAGAATCCCTCTAGGCAAAACCTTAAGTTACAAAAAGACACAAAAACAGGAATATACATTCCATTCAGCACAGCCTATTTTACCAGGCATTAAACAAAAGGAAATCTACTGCATTTCTAGCTAGATTACTTACTAACTTGAGTTATGAAGAGCATTCCTGATCTGTTCCCGGCCAAAGCATCACACAGACAGACAGACCCTTCCCCCCCCCCCCCCAGCTTTGAAAGTATCTTGTTTCCTCATTGGTCATGTGCCAGTTAGGTTATCTTAGCTTCTTAACCCTTTACAGGTGAAAAGGTTTTGCCTCTGGCCAGGAGGAATTTTATAGTTCTGTATACAGAAAGGTGGTTACCCTTCCCTTTATATTTAAGACAGGCTCTGTGCTTGGTTCAGTTGTGATCTAATGGATCTAACACACGACTAGATCTCAGGAGGCCTGGCTTCTGTTCCTGACTCTGCCGCTGGCCGGCTGGGTGACCTTGAGCATGTCACTTTACCTCTCTGTGGCTTAGTTTCCCTTCCAACCCTTTGTCTGTCTTGACTGTTTAGATTGTGAGCTTTTGGGGGCAGGACTGTATTTTACTGAGTTTTTGTACAGCACCTAGCACAATGGCACCCTGATCTTGGTTGGAGTCTGTAGATGCCACTGTAATACACATTATTGTTGTTATTTATTATTGCATTTGCTAAGCAAGGTGAAGGGATAGCTCGGTGGTTTGAGCATTGGCCTGCTAAACCCAGGGTTGTGAGTTCAATCCTTGAGGGGGCCATTTAGGGATCTGGGGAAAAAACTGGGGATTGGTCCTGCTTTGAGCAGGGGGTTGGACTAGATAACCTCCTGAGGTCCCTTCCAACCCTGATATTCTATGATTATTGATTTGTATTACCATAGCACCTAGGAGGCCCGGTCATGGCCAAGACCCCATTGTGCAAATGCAGAACAAACAGTCCCTGCTCCAAATTCCTGACAATCCAAGTATAAGACAAGAGAGAACAGCTAGGGAGTACAAGGGAATAGTGAGACGATACTGGTCAGTGTAATTGTGGAATAGTCTCCCAAGCCTGTAATGTTTAAACCATGCAAAACTCTGTTACATGTGTAATAGGACACAGGCCTGCCCTGGGAGGGAGAAGGGCTAGCTGACCTTGCCTGTGGAGAAATGTAGTGATTCTGTGATATTGAGTACCAGGGAGATGGAGGGTGAGCTTGGGGCTGATATAAATGTCCACGGAGATGTGAAGAGGAGCAAGTTAGTACACTAGCCTTCTGCCTCTGGAGATCTGGGTTCTAGTTCTGTATGGGCCATTCAGAAGTGAAACAGTGTTTGGTCTCAATCTGATTCAAAAGCCAGCACTAAATTCACAGCAGTTGGCACCCTGGAGGTGCACTGGTGGAGCTGTGTGAGGGACTCAGAACTGGCAATGCAGGGGCTGTTTCCATGGGATGACTCAGGTGCACTGAGTTTTCTGTAGGAAGCTGGCATGATGCCTATTGGTAATTGTGCTCTGCCACAGCTAGACAGAACTGTTAGTTTCTTCTCAGGATTGGATTACGACTGAGATAGCAGGGGTGCTCCAGGTCAGAGCTGAGCTGTATTGACAGAACCAGGACAGGGTGCATGCAGGACTGCAATGCAGGGGTAGAGATGGGATTTGTGGGTGCTGCACATCAGGACTTAAGAGTATTGGCCAAGCTGTGTGGTTGCCCATTACTGGACCAGTAGGGAATGCAAACTGAGATGCCTTGACAGAACTGTGTGGGACGCACGGCTATAAGCCCCTTGCTTTTCTGAGTGCTAGTGGCTGCCAGAACTCAACATCATTATTCCAAAGCCTAGAAGAGCCCATGAACTGAGAATGGAAAGTCTCAAGTCAGCTCTGACCTCCTCCACCATTAATAGACGAGGTGATGGGCTGCCCTTAGATGTGATGTGCACGTCAGCCTAACAGTACTCCAAGCAAACCTCCCCAAATGCCTCCCCTGGCCCATTATTTTCATCAACTGCTCAGTCTGAGGTCATTGCTGATCTAACCAAATGGAGCAAAAGGTCATTCCCAAGTGACCAGCATGAGCCTTCCGTGCTCATTCCTATTGGGGGCCCATCCAAGTGAAGGTAACGGCAGACAGGCAGGCCGTGGGGTGTGTGAGGGCAAGTGAAGCTCAGCCATGTACCTGTTCTGAGGACAAGTAAAGGGGACTTTGGTCTCCTGGGTGGTCCCTGACACTGCCTGGGGTTCTGGGTGTTAACCTGGCAGGAATGGGCACGTTTGTTCTTCAGTCAGGTGAACTCTTGGCACTGAGCTGTTAGCATTCCTTTGGCAAGAGCTGAGTAACCTTGTGTTGTTGCCCCTAAACTGAAAATGAAAATGAACAGTTTAAGCCTGAGAACACAGAACGGAAGAGGTTGGGTCTGGTCTGGTTGGGCAGGGGAGTCTAATGTGGGAACAGGGGACAGATTCTAGTGGCAAGAATACTGGTGAGAGCTTCTGTCTCTGAACTTTCAGCTGGGAATCCACCCCGAGCCCTCTGGACATGAGATCCTGGCTGCCAGTACCCCACCCAGCTGCTGGGAGGCACGATGGAGGGGGGGCAGGTGTCTGCTGAGAGCTCAGGCTAGGGCTGGCTGCACACAGAGCACATGTAGGGAGGAGAGGTGGAAACCTAGGGAGGTGGTAGAATCTCCTTCCTTAGAGGTTTTTAAGGTCAGGCTTGACAAAGCCCTGGCTGGGATGATTTAACTGGGAATTGGTCCTGCTTTGAGCAGGGGGTTGGACTAGATGACCTTCTGGGGTCCCTTCCAACCCTTATATTCTATGATTCTATGATTCTATGAAACCAGCAGAAGGGCAGTATGGTGGCTGGGGAGCACCAGGCAGCTGGGAGAGAGCTAGGTGGGTGAGGTGGTAGGGAGAGGATCCTGGGTCACCAAGAATATGTGTCTCGGGTTCCTCTGTGCAACTGACTGAGGAGAAGTCATGCTTACTGTGCTAAGGGTTAAAACGTGTGGTAGCCATTTCTGGGAAGTGTGGGAATGGGCTCTGAGCTCCTCTAGCTCGTTGGCCTCTGCATCACCTGGCTCTGCCTGACACAGCAGACGCAGGTCAGTGTGAAGGAGGCAGGTGTAGCCACCATCTGATATTTGCTCTGACGTGCACAGGCGTCTGCAGTAAGATGACTGGAGGCAGCGGAGGTGCCCTTTGGCGTTGTGTCCCGGTAATGTCTTGCCTTTGCTTGTCTCTTTCTTCCTGCGCAGTACAAACAAGTGGAGCAGTACATGTCCTTCCACAAGCTCCCCGCCGACATGCGCCAGCGGATCCATGACTACTACGAGCACCGCTACCAGGGCAAGATGTTTGACGAGGAGAGCATCCTGGGAGAATTGAGTGAGCCCCTGCGCGAGGTAATGAGGGGTGCTCTGAGTGTTCATTGGGGGGCTGAGTGGGGCCAGGGCTCCTCTCAGCTCCACAGCAGTGGAGTTCATGGTGTGCAATGGCAGAGGCTGATACTGCACCAGCTGGCGTGAGGACGTCACGGGATATGTGGGGTGGCGGTGGGGGAGAAGGAGCAGAGCAATAGGGCCTGACTGTAGCAGCAGCTGACCTAGAGGGAAGTCTGTCATTCCCTGGCCTCTGTCTGCCCATAATCCATTGCCATTGAGCAGAACAGTGCAGTCCTGGATTCCCCAGTGTCAGCCCAGCAGCCAGGACAGCATGTCTTGAGTCTATTAACCAGTGCAGTGCAGGGGATTAGAGCTGGTGAGAACATTTCTGACTCAATGAAATTGTCAAATGACGCTGTTTTGTGGAAAACCTTTTGCAGGGACATGCTGGTTCCAGAGAAGTTGGCATTGGGAAGGTTTTCCGGCTGAGAGAGATTCTCATGTTTCATGGGTCAGTGGTTAGAGCCCCAGTCTGGGATATGGGAGGCTCAGATTCTAGTCCCTGCTCTACCTGATTCAGAGTGATCTAGGGTGAAACACTCTGTTCTGAATCAGGTAGAGCAGGGACCTGGGTCTGATGCTCATTGCCCCATCCTCACTCCTTTGCCTGACCCAGGTTACAGAACTGGAAGTCGCTGCTTTCCCAGTCCCGATCTTCCTCCTGCGCTAGACATCTAAAAAAGAGGAGGAAACAAGTCACAAAGGGAAAAGAGCCCATGTGATGGAATGCCCCTGTGACTTTGAGTGGTTCTGCTGCTGGAGAGATCCCCAAATGTACCTCTATTATGCCCTATGCATGGGTGTTGCATTACCAGACTAGCTCTTTGCAGATGAAGGAGCCAATGCTAAAGCCAATGATCTGGCACCCAGAGTCATTCACAAGTTCATATGCCAAAGCAACAGCATTTCCCCGGACAGCCTGCCAGCCACACATGGTTTATTGCCCAGCACATGGACAGCCTCCCCCCCAACCCCCCCCCACACAATTTAAACCTTGTACTGCCAATGCCCAGGTGGGAGTGGGCTGGAGGGGAGAGAAGAGCCTTTCTCACTAACACAAGGGAGCCTCAAAAAGGAAATTGCACAAGAAAGAAGAATCAGATTCCTTCTGGGAGTGGGTTTGGTAGATGACCTGCCTCAATTTCGCTTCACATTGTTTTCTGAGTCTGAATCGAAGTGACCCGGAGCAGCACAGTGCAGTGAAAAGCACTGTCATATCCTAAGAGGGTGTGATGCACTGGAATACACACAGGACGTATATTTTATGACAAAGGTACAATCACATTGTATTTTCTTCATCTGAGGCACTCAAACCAAAGAGGTCACAGCCTACCTGGGACACACTAACTGGTAGGCACCTATCCTGCCCATCTTCTCCCCACATAAAGCCCCCACTTGCCCATGATATTTCCTTTTCCGGCTGGCTGGGTACATCTGCCCAGTTTTTAGCATTTTGGAAGCAGGCCAGGACAATGCAGGACATAAGGCTGCCAAGGCGAGTTACAGCATTTTCCCACGAATGAGCCCTCTAGCTGCTTCATGTGGCATTTCACTGGTGCCACCCACAATGTGCATGGCTGCCAAAGATTGGCCTGTGGGGGAGATGGCTCTCGGGTCCCAGGTTAGAAAGAGAGAGAGAACATGTTGTGAATTCGAGCAATAAGACTGAGCTTCCAGCTTTAGTAAATATGGCTGCATTGAATGACCATCCAGGCCCTCCTAGAGTGCTGTTCCAGCAGGCACTGGATTTGTGTCCATCCTACGGTGGATCTTTTGGGAGAATAGTATCTTGGTTGGGGCTTTGGGAGGGGATCTCTGTAGGTTATTTCACCTTAACTGAAGCATTTCTCTCAGTGCGTGTCTCTGTCTCTTCCCCCCACCCCTCCAGGAAATCATAAACTTCAACTGCCGGAAGCTGGTGGCATCCATGCCGCTGTTTGCCAATGCAGATCCCAACTTTGTGACATCCATGCTGACCAAACTGCGGTTTGAGGTGTTCCAGCCGGGGGATTACATCATCCGGGAGGGCACCATCGGCAAGAAAATGTACTTCATCCAGCACGGGGTGGTGAGCGTGCTTACCAAAGGCAACAAGGAGACTAAACTGGCAGATGGCTCCTACTTTGGAGGTGAGAGTCAGTGACCCACCCAACTGTGCTGCTTGGGCAACAAGACCCATGGCTGTTCCCCAGGCAGTCCTCGTCTGGTTCATGTTAGTGCTTGTCATAGCCAGCACCAGACAGAACTGGAGCCTCAGTCACCTTGTCTGTCTGTCTCCACCTGAGGACTCTTGTCTTACACTTAAATCGTGAGCTCTGTGGGTCAGGGCCTGTCTTTTTGTTCAGTGTTAGGGCAGCGCGTAGCACAGCGGGGTCCTGACCCATGACTGGAGCGCCACGGCATAGAAGAACAATAATGAGATCAGCATCAAGGAGGGGGAAAACTTTGTTAATGCCCTTTGTTAATGGTCATTTCCTCCTTGCTCCTTGTGCGGTTAGCAGATCTGCCAAACACAGGCCCTTCCTTATACAGTTACTTTTGCCTGGTCCCGCCTGCTGTCAGGCACTGTATTGCGGTGATGGACAGGGATCAGGCTGCATGGTGTTAGGTGCTGTACAAACACGGGGCAAAACGACAGTCCCTTGACAGAGAACTCGCTATTTAAATCTGACACAGGTTACCAGGGGAGCGGGGCACGCGACAGCAGTGAGATGAGTGGGAGCAGTATGATAAACAGTGGGATGGGATTTCATTGCCTGCCTGCAGGCTGTGGGGCTGGTGACTGCAATGCTCTCACTCCTAGGGCTCTGCAAAGCTTTCACCCAGAAACGCCAAACCAAGCAGACTTCACATGGAGGCAACTTCCAGCGCAAATATTAAACCTGCCGAAGCTGAGTGGACCTGGAGAGGATGGGCGGAGTGGGCCCCTCTTCCCCACCTCCTAAGCCCCGTGGCCTGCTCTCCACAACCAAAGGATCCCCCTCCATCTGTAACAGACCTTGGGACCCCCACCTCCGCAGGCCCGAAATTCACTAAAGAATCCCCTTTGTCCTACCAGGCTCCAGGATATTTGCATGACTGTGCAAACCCAGGCCAGTAGGATCCATTAGCTGGGCTCCAGTCTCATGTGGAGTTTCTGGTTCACATAGATCTGAAATAGCAAAGTGAAACTTGTTGGTTTCATCATGAAACAGCTGAGCTCTTGTAGCTCCTCCCTTTCCAGCTATGAGGCCCCCTTTCTCCCCCTAGCAGGCCATGGGGTCCCCTCACTCTTCTCACATGAGCACCGCACACAGTCCCCAGGACCCACATGCAGCCCAGCCTTCTCTTGCCATGGGTAGTTGGCTCTCTCCCCACGTTCCAGACCTTCAGAGAGTGGCTGGCTGACTTGTGAAGGGCTAAAATGGAGGAGACACCTGCTGACCTTGAGCCCTGTTTGGAATGGGCAATGGGTTCCGAGTAATCTGCACTCACCCCCAGAAATGCCTTTGGCTGGATTCCCTGATTGGGGGTGGGGGGGAAAGAAGGATATCAGCTGTGGCATCAACAAAGCCTGGCGATCTTCCTGCGCCAGCTATACCCAGAGGCCAGTGGGAACAGGAGAGCACTACACTGAATCTAGTGGTACCCTTGCTCTCAGAGGGGCAGGGTCACATTGTCTGGACCCATCTAATTTGCTAGAGGAGAATGGCTTTCCTCCTGGTGGCAGGATCCATTAGAACCATCTCCCAGAGGTGCCAGCTCTTTTTAAAAACAGATTTTAAAAATTATAGCATCAGTCAGAGTTATTACACTGCAGTAGTACCTCCTACGTAGGGGCAGCTGCAAACGGGGCACTGGGGAAAGGCATCGTCCAATTACTTACACGCACACACATACACGCACAATGTGTGGTGCAGCCACAAAGTTGAAACCAGCAAAGAGCTTTGTGTGTTCTCTGCCAGCCTAAGAATGGTTATGCGAAGTTTAATTGCTTTAACCTTGGTAATAAAGGGGTTCCACTTGGTGTCCTTATCCTCTCAGTTAATAAGATCGTAGCAGATCCACCAATAACTTGTAAGTTTCTTTGCTTGCACAGCATCAACATGGGGGATCGCTGAACCTCCTGATGCTGAGTTACAGGTCAAATCAGAGACCTGACTGCAAATCTAGGGAGAGTTAGCTTCAGTGAGACGTGGTGTGACCTTCCACTCCCAGTGGGCCAGGAAAAGTGTGAGAGAGACAGTTCCTCCATTCTGAATGCACAAGTGATACCTATGATAAGCCACAATTACAGAACTTGCTGGCTACGTAGATCAGCTGAATCCCTGAGGTGCCATATTGTACAGCAGTTACTGCAATTGAGCCCTCTGGTATTTTGTTCGGTAAATGTTATTGCATAGTGGAACATTTATACCGTTAATGTGGAGGCAGGGATGTCGCTTAGTGACATGAGCTGCTTTTGTTTGGAGGCAGCGATGGTCCCTTCCTCGCTCTCCCACTCCCGGGGTTCTCAGGCTGTGTCTTCATTCCAGAAATCTGCCTGTTGACCCGTGGCCGGCGCACGGCAAGCGTGCGAGCTGACACCTACTGCCGCCTCTACTCCCTCTCGGTGGACAATTTCAACGAGGTGTTGGAAGAATATCCCATGATGAGAAGGGCTTTTGAAACAGTGGCACTGGACAGGCTGGATAGAATTGGTGAGTAGAAAGTATGAGGCAATGCTTCATCACCCATGTCCATGGGCTCCTTTCAGTGGCTGTTTCCAAGTGAGGGAAACCACACCCTGCCCTACCTTCTTCCACAGTCTCTTTTTCAAATGGGTAAAACCTCTCCACCCCATCACCTTTAGCTCCATTTCCAAGCAGATAACTTCACCCCCCAAATACCTCCATTTCCATTATCTCCATTTCCAAATGGCCTCTGTGAAGCACATCCTGCCAACTGTGCAATATTGTGCAGGAACTCCATATGATATAGTGTAATAGCCACCATGGGCTGGGATGTGGGACCCAAGAAATGGGGCTTAAGCCAGATTTTGGTTGATAGTTGACATTGTGCAAACGCCAGGGGCTTCCCACTGCTAAGAGAAATGGGCCAGAATCTGACATCCTTACTCTGCTAGCAATCCCATGGATTTCAATAAGTCTTTGTGCGGAATAAGATAGTACTCAGCATAAATCTGGCCCAGAGTTTGCAGGGACACTAGCTAGGGTATAATTACATGGACTAGCATTATTCGTTTTTACAGCAAAAACTGATCACCAGATGGGATTAGGAAGAGCCACACCCCTGTGATATACTATGGCACAGTGGGGTGTGGACGTGCCGGTGCTAGGCCTTGGACTATAGCCACAGAAAACAAGTCTAGCAGAGCAGACAGGCTATGTTTTGAGGAGGGCAGGGGGCCAGGATGTTTGCTGATCCAAAGAAAGATCCCGCTATTGCAAAGTGATCTGCAGAACATAAAAGTTAAGCCTTATATGCTAATTAGCCCAATTATGAATGTATTTGCTATGATTAGATGCCTGATTAAACAAAGATATGGGAACATTTACAGAACAAAGCCAAGGTCCAGCGTTGGTTTCTGTAGGTGTACTAAGCTGGGAGTATGGCAAAATACTGAACCCCAACAGGTGAAAGGAGTCATAACTAAGGCTGATACACCCCAAGTTATTGTATAGATTCCCCCAACAGAGTTGGCAGCTCCATTGTGCTGGGTGCTGGACAGACACCTAGGAGGCGGGAGTGTCTGCTCTGAAAAGTGGACCATCTAAATAGACAAGACAAAGGAAGGGAGAAAGGAAGGGTTATTCCCTGTTTATTGCTGGGGAGCTGGGCACAGGGGAGATTAAGTGATTCCCCCAAGGTCAAACAGGTTGGCTGTGACAAAGCTGGAACTGAATCTTCTGGAGCCCCAGTCCGGTGCCGTAACCCCTAAATTGCCCTTTGTTAATTAGACCTCTCTTAAAAACGTGTGCTTGTTTTCACCAATTCCTAGAATCAAAATGGCTAGTGCAGTTCTGGGCAATGCTCTGGGTGGGCACGGAAGAGCTGGCAGGGGGTTCTGGGCCTGGCCACACCAAGAGGCATTCATTCAGTTCCGGGCATCGAGCTCCCAGAATGATATTGCAAATTGGAGGGACTGACTCTGGAGGAAAGAGTAAGAGCTAAATATGTGCAGCTTGGCTGAGCACTGGCTCATTAGGCCCTAATGTAAGTGGTGGCAGGTTTGTCACTTGGGACACTTGAATCTAGACTGAACAAAGCGCAAGAAAATGTGCTGTAAGGAGCTGTCCTGTCTTGTCCCCACGGGATGGACCAGATGGGAGCTAGCAGGGCTTTCCCATTTCTAGTTCTGCAGAGTCTCTGAAAAGAGACTCCCTGTGATGGACACTTACGCTGCCATTCAGCCTTGCAAATGCAAAGCTCCCAGGTTGTCAAGGTTCCTCCCCCACTCTGAACTCTAGGGTACAGATGTGGGGACCTGCATGAAAAACCTACTAAGCTTATCTTTACCAGCTTAGGTCAAAACTTCCCCAAGGTACAAAATATTCCACCCTTTGTCCTTGGATTGGCCGCTACCACCACCAAAGTAATACTGGTTACTGGGGAAGAGCTGTTTAGACGTGTCTTTCCCCCCAAAATACTTCCCAAAACCTTGCACCCCACTTCCTGGACAAGGTTTGGTAAAAAGCCTCACCAATTTGCCTAGGTGACTACAGACCCAGACCCTTGGATCTTAAGAACAATGAACAATCCTCCCAACACTTGCACCCCCCCTTTCCTGGGAAATGTTGGATAAAAAGCCTCACCAATTTGCATAGGTGACCACAGACCCAAACCCTTGGATCTGAGAACAATGAAAAAGCATTCAGTTTTCTTACAAGAAGTCTTTTAATAAAAATAGAAGTAAATAGAAATAAAGAAATCCCCCCTGTAAAATCAGGATGGTAGATACCTTACAGGGTATTTAGATTCAAAAACATAGAGAACCCCTCTAGGCAAAACCTTAAGTTACAAAAAAGATACACAGACAGAAATAGTTATTCTATTCAGCACAGTTCTTTTCTCAGCCATTTAAAGAAATCATAATCTAACACGTACCTAGCTAGATTACTTACTAAAAGTTCTAAGACTCCATTCCTGGTCTATCCCCGGCCAAGACAGAATATAGACAGACCCACAGACCCTTTGTTTCTCTCCCTCCTCCCAGCTTTTGAAAGTATCTTGTCTCCTCATTGGTCATTTTGGTCAGGTGCCAGCGAGGTTACCTTTAGCTTCTTAACCCTTTACAGGTGAGAGGAGCTTTCCCCTGGCAAGGAGGGATTTCAAAGGGGTTTACCCTTCCCTTTATATTTATGACACAGGTGCATGCATGCATGTGTGAGCAGGCTGTGCTGTGGTGCCAAGCTCCATACCCATCTGCTGCATCTCTCTGAGTAGGCAATACAACTGCTGAAATCTCTCTTTCAGCAAAGCAGAGGAGAAAGCACATGTGAGCCCAGAGCACATGGTTCCTAGCTGTGTAGACAGCAGTGCCTCCTCTAATAAGGAGCTGTAACATACTAACTGTGATGTCCCCATACTAACTGTAACTAGACCCACACAGAGAATAAGAACCCACTACTGCTACTAGCTAGCAGAGCTGCTTTATTAACTGAAGTGGGAGAGGCCTGGGCTGAAGTTCCATCCCGGGTTCCATCCCTGTTGATGAACCATGGTGGAGGGGGTTGTTACATACTTTTGATGAGGACCATACATAACGAGGGAGAAATAGAGTAGCAGCGGAAGGAGCTTGCTGTAGCCCTGACATGATGCTCCGGTCCAGGTTCCAGCTGACCTCATGGAACCCACGTTTGCCACCACTTTTCTGTTTTAGGCCCCACCACTGACAGCCTGTTCTTTGCAGTGTGAAGCCTGGGAGGCGGCACAGGACTTGTGGAATCATGGAGCCGGGTGCAGACCCAGTAAGACCAGAGGCAGGGGCAGCGCTGATGGCGCCAGTCAGACCTATTTCCAATGACAATGCTTCAATAAAACACCACATAGAGCCATTGTTTCCGCACCCTGCAAGCGTCACCCAGATGGCTGCTAGGGAGGGTGGATCAAATGATAAACTACTGAATAGAAGAAATAGTAATGGTGTTTGCAAGTATCAGTCATGCCAGATACTCAGGGGTGAATCCCAGTGTAGGTGGATGTGGATGTTCCCAAGTCATGTGGGAGCATCCCACCCAAACAGTGACAGGATTCAGGGACTCAGTCATGATCTACACATCAGCCCTGTCCAGCCATCATAGAATCATAGAAGATTAGCGTTGGAAGAGACCTCAGGAGGTCATCTAGTCAAACCCGCTGCTCAAAGCAGGACCAACCCCAACTAAATCATCCCAGCCAGGGCTCTGTCAAGTTCAGCCTTAAAAACCTCTAAGGATGGAGATTCCACCACCTCCTGAGGTAACCCATTCCAATACTTCACCACCCTCCTAGTGAAAAAGTTTTTCCTAATATCCAACCTAGACCTCCCCCACTGCAACTTGAGACCATTGCTTCTTGTTCTGTCATCTTGCTCCACTGAGAACAGCTGAGCTCCATCCTCTTTGGAACCTCCATTCAGGTAGTTGAAAGCTGCTATCAAATCCCCCCTCACTCTTCTCTTCTGCAGACTAAACAAGCCCAGTTCCCTCAGCTTCTCCTCGTAAGTCATGTGTCCCAGCCCCGTGATCATTTTCTTTGCCCTCCGCTGGACTCTCTCCAATTTGTCCACATCCTTTCTGTGGGTGGGGACCAAAACTGGATGTAATACTCCAGATTTGGCCTCACCAGTGCTAAATAGAGGGGAATCATCACTTACCTCGATCTGCTGGCAGTGCTCCTACTAATGCACCCAATATGCTATTAGCCTTCTTGACAACAAGGGAACACTGTTGACTCATATCCAGCTTCTCGTCCACTGTAATCCCCAGGTCCTTAGCCAGTCAGTCCCCAGCCTGTAGCAGTGCATGGGGTTCTTCCGTCCTAAGTGCAGGACTCTGTACTTGTCTTTGTTGAACTTCATCAGATTTCTTTTGGCCCAATCCTCCAATTTGTCTAGGTCACTCTGGACCCTATCCCTACCCTCCATCGTATCTACCTCTCCCCCCAGCTTAGTATCATCCGCAAACTTGCTGAGGGTGCAATCCATCCCATCATCCAGATCATTAATGAAGATGTTGAACAAAACCAGCCCCAGGGCTGACCCCTGGGGCACACCATTTGATACCAGCTGCCAACTAGACATTGAGCCATTGAGCACTACCTGTTGAGCCTGATAATCTAGCCAGCTTTCTATCCACCTTATGGTCCATTCATCCAATCCATATTTTTTTTACTTGCTGGCAAGAATACTGTGGGAGACCGTATCAAAAGCTTTGCTAAAGTCAAGATATATAAATCCACCACTTTCCCCATATCCACAGAGCCAGTTATCTCATCATAGAAGGCAATCAGGTTGGTCAGGAATTACTTGCCTTTGGTGAATCCATGTTGACTGTTCCTGATCACCTTCCTCTCCTCCAAGTGCTTCAAAATGGATTCCTAGAGGACCTGCTCCATGATTTTGCTGGGGACTGAAGTGAGGCTGACCAGTCTGTAGTTCCCCAGATTCTCCTTCTCTTTTTTAAGGATGGGCACTATATTTGCCTTTTTCCAATCGTCC